AGGGTTTTTATCAGCACTCAACAAGCTTCTTCTTTACTTTTAATTTTTTATGTTCATTTTACTTCTTGTTTAATGTTTATACATACAACATTTCATGTTGTGCTGTTAATTTTTTTTATGATTTCGGTTGTAAATTTACCATTCTTTTAAAAAACTTTTCTTTCCTTTATACTTTTTTTTCTACCTTCTTCTTCCTTCATTCACAATGAAATCTCTCTTTTTATAGTGACACAGAGTTGATGGTTGGAGCTGTGTCAGATGTGTTGTGAACAAGTTGTGGATTTGGTTTGATAAATTGTCTAGTAAATAATAGAAACTATTCCTAAAGCTAGTGCTGAATTTCTTTTAATAAGCCGATTCAACGTCATTCTTTAGGAGGCATTCTTTTCCACCTAGTTTAATTGCTCATCTAACTCTACTCATTCCCAAGGTCATTGACCTTTTCGATGATATGTTTTCTGGTCAAAATCATTAAACCTTCATTATTAGATTTATAAATTATGCCCAGTACTAGGTAATCACCTAAGCATTACAATTAAACACTTCATCTCATTAAACCTCACCAAAAAAAAAATCTAATATTCTTAAATCTCCAAATATCAATCCCCAACCCTACCCCAAAATTTGACACAATTTCAATCAACCACCCAACAACCCTGCAAGTACATTTTATATGCTTCCACTGATGCTGATGTGTTCGCCACAGCAAAAAAAGCTCTCAATTTATTTTACATTTTTTTAAAAGACTATAAAACTGCTTCAATATATTAGCAATTCAATTCAATAGCGCATATATATGGAGAAGCAACAAAAAGAAGGTACAAAAAAAAGAAGAAGCAAGCAAAAAAAAATATACAGCATATAAAAATTAATTTTCACATGTTTATAGTCATAACCATACACACATTTAAAGACAAATCGATGTACGGGCGCGCAACACTTGTAAAACAACGACCATGTTTCCTCACCAGACGGTTTTTGCCTCATCGCTGCTATTTTATTTTTCATTTCGTTTCTTCTCTACTTAATTTTTTTTTTTGCACGGATACATGCACAGATGTATTCACACAAATACATTTCACCAGTTTTATCCATATCGACTATATGCGGCATATCGTATGGCGAGTAGTCGAGAAACAGAGAGACGTTGTGTACTTTTTGTCTGTCTCATACTGTCTCTTTATGTTATTGTATGTTCTATCCACCGTAAAACGACAAAATAGTCAGGATAAAAAAAAAGACTGAATAAGAAGAAAGCAAAACATTGTATGTACATCTAAAAATGGTATTTTCATCCAAGAATGACTCTTCATCGCTCATATCCCGTCATCATAATGCATAGAGGAAAGAGAATATTGTTATATGCTCAACTCTGTGTGGGGTGGTTATGAGATGGAAGTAACAAACGAGAAAATAAGAATATAAAAGCACATCAAGAGCATTAAAAAGCATAAAATATACCAAAATGGGGATATTTTCTCGACGTTAAACACATTCAGAGTACTGAACAAAAAAAAAGTTTCAACAGCACAATCTGAAACAGAGAAGCAACAAAACACAAAAAAAAGTTATGAGAGAGAATACTTCTCGTTATCGTATGAATTTTAAATCTTATGCTCATATTTTGATGCCCCTCTTCATCATACTCTGTAGCATTTTTGCCACCTTCCTTCCAACCCAACAAATTTCGCCTCAATACAATAGAATGAATGTATAACATAACAGAACATAAGCATAGACGTAAGCATAGCAAAAGCGCTGAATATGCTCGAAAAACGAATTGTATTGCAAAATGGGAAAAACAAAATGGGAATAAAAATTTCATTCCTTTTTTTTTCTTCTCTTCATTTTATGTTTTCGTGTACGTACGGTGATTTCTTTCCTTTCCCATCCACTGTTGTCTTTACTTAAAGCGACAAAGTGTTAAGAGTCTCTTGAGAGGATAGCGAGAGGGATCGAGAGAGTAACTCTATTGTATTGAGAGCAAATTGAGGAGCACATTGATATTGAAATTGCTCACCGAGAGAGAAAAAAAAATATCTACTTTTTGTGCTGCTGCTGTTGTTGTTGTGTATAAAAGTTGAAAAGAGGAAAAAAAAGAAATGAATTTTTTATTATACTTCATTGTGATGTGAAGTTTTGAGATTGCGCACTCTGTGCGGGGCAATGAAACATACGAAAACGAGTTTTAACTTACTTCTGATAGACATTTGCAGTGCATTTGATGGGTAATGTCGAGGGAAAAAATTCGTTTCGACGGTGATGAGATTTTGAATTTGATCTCGGATACTTCAAAGGGGGTTTTTTATTTCATTAGGTTGTTGGGAAAATGCTGAAAATAACAGTTCATCATGGAATATCATAAGGTAGCGCTAACACAAGGTCAACGTAAGCCGAAGTATGAATAGATTTGTTAAGATCAGCCACAGAAGTGGTACCAATATTTATCTTAATCATTATTAATGGTTTTCCTACTCTTAAACTCTTTCTTGTGAACAAACTTTAATTAAACAATAACTGATACAAAGTTGTCATCAGGCCACTGCTGTGTTGCCATACTTAAAGGATAAGGTCAGAAAAATTTAGGGTTGTCTTGATGACACAGTCTCGACTATTTGCGAACAGCAAAAAATAGAATTTTTTATTCTTCGGATACTTTATAAAATTGGAGCATCTTTTGTATCACCTCTCTTACCTTTATCTTAGTCAACTTGCATACAATTCTATTAAACCAACAAAAGAACTCAAATAAATAAAAAAAAAAATAAAATAAATAAATAATCATCATAAAAAAACTCAACTTGCTATACACGGATCAACTTTAAAATTTTTTGTTTAATATTTTTTTGGTATTTAAATCACAATATTTACCAAAAAAATTCCTTACCTCTCAAAATAATGTCCATCATTTAATCTTAATAATCTAATAAATTCCTCGATTACCGAAATTCGTAAACCTGTCAAAGATAACAGACACAGCGATAAACAAGATCTTAAATAACTAACCACCGAAAAAATTCACAAAAATAATTTTTTATATATTTTAAAACAAGAAAAATATTTTCACATGACAAGCATCAGCAATAAAATAATCTTCATACGTAAGCAACACAAGACATATCCAATTCCGGCAATAAACTCACTGAACTGTAGATGTATAAGAGAGCGGCATTTTTACTTGTGTATGAGAAGGCATTCCACATACAGCAAGAAGCAAAATACACAAAAAAAAATAAAATTTTCTCTCTCTCAATCGGAGTTGATCTTTCATACCGTACGGTCGCTTTGTGAAATTAAAAAAGAATTATATTATCAAGTAACTATCGACGATTGAAAATCAGTGAAGAAAAAGTAAATAAATAAATAAATAAATTTAAAATAAAATATAAAAAAGTAATTCTGTTCAAGTTGTGAATCAATTTAAATTAAAAATAATTGTGTGATTCCAATTTATGTGCGAATCTAAATATTTTGATTAAGTGACGAAATACTCGACCGAGAAGGAGAAGCAAAAAAAAAATTTATTCAATTCTCTCCCCTCGAGCAGTTTTTATATATCGAGTTGTTTTTCGGATTACTCACAACAGGCAATCTCAATATACACATTTACGTCCATTACATAATTTTTTTTTGCTCGCTTGCCTCTACGACTCCTATATCTGCCGTCGTCTACGGCTGCTGGATAACAATGAAAATTTTAATATTATTGGATTAATAGTGAAATCAATTGCTGGATGCATGTGCGCAAACGCTCAGTTTTAATATTTTTTTTTGTACAATATACATTCTTTTTTTGTTCTCATTCTGTTCTGTTGGTGAAGTGAAATGAAGTACTATAACGTACCATAGAATGTACATACCGAGTGGAAAGAATAAAGCGACCGAGGAATGAAAATTAAGGAGCTCTCTTTTGTGTGTATGTGTTTCAATATTAAAATTTAAATTGAATTTTTATTCCCCAAAAAAAAAGAAGCGAAGTGAAAAAAAGTCGTCGCTGTTGGTAGAAATAAAAAGTTAAAAATTCAGAGGAAATTTTTTTTTATCATCTCATGTAAATACGCGCTTTTAATATTGCCGTATAATAAAAGAAAAGCAATTTTATTATTCAAGGTGCATTCATTGTGAAAGGAATATAAGAAAAAAAATTTCTCCTTTGTGGATGGTTGTTGTGAATTGAAAATTATATTATACAGAGAAAAAGAGAAAAAAAAAGATCAGAGGAGAAAATATAATAAAAATAAAAATGTATAATTTTGTAATAATGTGAAAAAATAAAAGAGAGAAGAAAGGAAAAAAAATAAAAAAATTATTATTAAGTACATACATAAAATAAGGAGATCCTTGTAAAGCAAGCCAGAATATACCAATGTCGGTAATGGGATTAAGTTCTTCAGTGGAAACATATTCAAGCAGAAGAAGATTCATATTGTACATAATAACAGAATAATAATAATAATAATAATAACTACACAGTGATATATCCAAAACGAAGGAGAGAATATTATTGCAGAATATCTCAACTGTACTACGAGCATATACAGATATCTTTTTACTCTAGTGCTACTCTTGCGTCAAATTAAAAGAGATTAAAAAGCATAATAGGAATAACAGAAGTATTATAATAATACCCCCGATATAGACACAACATGCAATGCCAATGGAGAAATTCTATGGAATTAAATTTCAATGAGGAATATTTTATTATCTCGATATAAAAAGTGAAAATATATTTATATATAAAATAAATACACACAATTTGACTTGAGATATTCATTTAAAATTGAAAACGATATTCGATAACATCTCATTGTATGTGTATGTTCATGTTTTATTGTGCATGCGAGACTCTTTCACAAAATCTCCTTTGTGGATTTAAAATTTCAACTTCATTATTATCATATTTAACGGATTAAAGTACCCTTCGTAATATTAACGAAGGGTGCTTTTAAAGGATAGTCAAAATAGCTATTATAGTACGTGAACCCTCCGAGGCCCCCCAGAACCAACAGCAGCAGCAGGGTTCGACGGGGGATGCTGCATCTGTCAATGCACAAAGTCCAAAAAGTGCTGCTGTAAATTCTAACAACAACAACAATAATAATAGCAATAGTTCAAGTAACAACAACAACAATAATAATAATAATATTGTAAAGCCATCGGAATCACCGCCAGCGACGTCAACAGCAACAGCACCTAAACAGGTAAATGAGCAAACATATAAAAATGTTTCGGATCATGACAACGATGATGATGATGAAGATGAGATTGTATTTCAATACCTTTGACTCCTCATTTGCTCTACACTTTTGTCGTGACACACAAAAAAAAATATAAAATAAGATTTTAAATGGTTTAATTGATAGAGTCATGGTAACGGTGATTTATACACATTTTTGCACCCTATTAAGAGATAAATAAAGCAAAACGAAAAGGAATTGTATGCAATAAATTTTAAATATGTATGGATAAAGTTAAGAGAGCGAGACATGCATGAGGTGGAAATTTAAGGAAGAATGTACATATTTTACATTCACGAAGGGTTCGGGTTCATTCTCGACATGCCAAGTAAGCAACAAAAAAAAGGAAATCAAACATAACACACAAAAAGGGGTTAATTTGAACAAGGACTTTACCCCTCACACTTTCCATCCACTAAATAATATATAATGTTATTCAAAATGTATAATTTAAATTCCTTTCCTTTATTCCATCTCATTTTTCATAAATATAATATTAAAAAGAAGGGAGAATTGAATGTTAAATGCATATACACACATATTTTCAATAACTCGACGCCTGGGGGACTTTATTCCTCTTATTATTCTTTCCCTTCATTTTTACACACATTTATTTTTGTTTCAAACCGAAGTACTTTAAAAACCAGTAGCACATAACAAAAAGTGAATTAGTAACATTGGTTAAGTGCTGCTGTGTTCTCATGCTTAGGGTTCTTCAAAAGAAAGAAAAGAAACTTTATCGTAAGAAGCAAAATGAGATGTGAGAATGGCTGAAAGGCCTATTATGCCTCTTAATGTGTGTAATTCAAATATAAATAAACAAAACAACTGATCGACATCAACATCAGCTCATTTTTCCATGTGTATAAAACGAAAGAAAGAAAGGAAAAAAAAGGGAAGACACAAGAGATGATGACGATGAGATATTTGAGAACCTTAACTGCTGTGGCAATAGAATTTAATTCAGATTTTTCTTACTTACTCAGAACAAATATTATAATACATATATTTATATAAAATTTGTAATATGATGATGGCAAGAGCAAGAAAAAAATGGTTTACTTCCATATCTTGCCTCGCTTATGGTTAAATAATAATCATTTAAGTGAGTTATTTGATATTGTATTGTATACACAAAACAATTTAATAAAACACACATACGAGAATGAATTTATAAAGAATAAAAGACGAGAACTCGAAGGTACGAACGGAATTGATCAAAGAAAAAGAAAAAAAAAGAGAAAATAAATTTTAAGCAATTTGAAGAGAACACTTTGTAGTGCAAGCAGCAACTTGAGATGAAAAATATATTCATAATAAAATTGTTAAGTGAACTGCTTGAAAGCAAAATAAATTGAATGTAGCATGAGCTATGTAATATTCTCTTTCATACAAAATTAATTCTGAATGCTTTTCTTCTCTCATGCTAAAGAACATTTCATTTTGCTGCTGCATCTTTCTCCTTTTCATTCCATTCTGCTTGTTCACTTTTTTCTTAACTTGCAAAATGTACATTTTGTGAATAAAAAGTTGAGGGATGCAGGAGGGTTGATTAGTGACTTTTAGCGCATTTTTTTGGGAATATGGATTTTTTTGGAGGATATAATTGGTTGTTGTTCGTCAAGCTGTTGCCTTTTTTAAGTGGAACAGTATGGATGTACCAATAAATGATGCCATCAGGTGCTCATGCCTCAATATTGTTCTTATTAGCTATCGAAAGCCATATTTTAATAATGAGTCTGCTATCTGCAAGTATTCAGGAGTTTTATACAAATCCTCAGTAGTACCCAATTGTACTGAGTCAGTAACTATACACCATTCACATCCTGCCATACCAAACTGATCGATTCACAATAATTTACCAATTTATTCCAAAATATCCATTCACTCTTAAAACTGCAACAAAGCTGAAATTGAACGGAAAAGCAAGTCGAAGAAGAGATTTGTAGAAAAATGGCAAAGAGAATTCCAATTACTACCTTTGCTGCATTTCGTCTCTTACTTGCTTTTTTTTATTTCTTCTTCTTTCCATTTCTTCGAAATAATGTTTCTTTACGATAAAGAATATTACAAACATGAAGTCAAGCAAACGAACAAGCAGCAAAATGTAAGACGTAAGAAGAAGAATGAGATCAAAAGGAATGGAAATGGAAATATACATAATATGTATATATCTGTATATAAATTGAAAACATTTATAAAACAAAAAAAAAGAAATGGAAAAACAATTTAATATTGCAATTCTTGTCTGGGGGTTTATTAAATGATTTCTTTTTTTTTGTCTTTAAAACAGTGCGCGCACAAAGGAATATACATAAAGTGCGCGAAACGACCATTAAGCCAAAAAAAGAGCCAAGCACAAGAGGAGAGAAAATAAAAATTGCGCATACAAAACACAGAAAATCGCGAATTTATCGCTGTCATGAAATAAACTTTTTTTTTCTTCCTTTTTTTATTCATTCCAACTTGCCTTCTCATTGTTCAAGTCTTCGTAATGAATACAAAAATATGTGGTTTTGTGCTTAATATGAATATACTTAAAAGAAATTCGTATATAGTTCCTTAGATAATTTTTGTGTGAATTTTCGCTGCTGAACGTATTTGCGTTGTTTTGTTGGTGCTTGTGAAGTCATTTGTTGAGGTCATAATTTGATTAGAAGTCGTGCGGATCACTAGGATCTGAAATGTCAATACAACTTATATAAATTTATCTTTTTAACATTCCCAAAACTTCTTAAAATTCTGACAAATCTGCATAAAGTTCCATAGAAAAAAAATGAAAAAAAAAATAATTTTCTGACAAAATCAGCCTGAAGGTATCTGTCGTGTATATGTACAGAAAAAAAATTGGAGGATTTACAGTGAAGATAAAAAGGCACTCTTGTGGTGTGTGAATTTCATCTTAATGCAGCGAAAATAATACACGACAAAGAAAGAGAGAATGAAATTTGCTAAAGCTACTTACAATATTCACAGTTTGAGGGACGACAAAATGGGGAAAAAAGTACGAAGTAAGAAGAGGAATTGAAATGTATATTCAGATGAAAGAAAATCTCCTTCTGTTGTTGAGCAAGTTAAATCAGATGAGAAGTAATAGATTGAGCACGAAATGAAGCACTTTTGTATTATATATTCTCATACTGATGCTACATAGAAATGAATGTTAAAGATGGTACAAGGGTGCTATCAATGCTGGATTTGAACATTGTTGAGTGTGGTGGAAAAATATGTTTACTTAATGGTGTGCCGTAGGAAGGTTAAAATACGGATAAATTTTCATCACTCGATGGTACTTGCCGGATGGAATTTTCCAAGAAATTTCCATTTTATGATGAAATTCAATTTTGAGTGAATTTTTCATTGAGGATTGTTTGCTGCTGTGGAGGTGGAATGTAGCGTAAAATTCTGTTTATCGATTTATTTTTTTTTTGTTGGTTCGAAGAAATTTATTACAATTTTATTTAAATGTGGGAGGTTAAGAAGGGGGGATTGAGATACGCAATGGAAAATTAATGGGGGGAATGCATTAAGATGTTGAATTTTTTTAATTTAATCTTTAAAAAAAATTGCTTCCTGTCTGAAAGGTTTTTGTAGAGCAGTGCCTTAAAATATGTATGTCATGACTCGTTATTGCTCTGACAGAATTGAGGACGACCCTGTTCTAAAACTTTCAATTATTCCGTCAATTTAAAAGACATTGTCATCAAGTTATTCAAAAGAATCAAATCGTATTGTCAAAAATTGATCAAGCTATAAAAATAATCTCATCACAAACAACAAAAAAAAACCCAATTTCATCCCAGTCGTAAAAAAATCGCTTCCCTATCTAATGATTTAAAACTCTCAATTTAATCAAATTTTCTCGAGTGAGAAGAAAAATAACAACAAATTGGTTTATTTAATTGAAGGAATGTTTTATTTTTCAATAGGGTCAAAATCAACATCATATCCCTTAAAGAAATAATCGACAAAGTTTCTTTTCCCTTAGTGCCGATATAAAAATTTCCTTTTTTTTATCTCCCTTCTTTCCGTTATTTTTTTCTTGATCTCCATAAACAACACACAAAAAAAAATAACATCAAGAGTAAGAAATTGAGACGAAGGGAGAACTAAGCAGATTTTTTTTTGAGGCAATTCATATTGATTATTCCACTCATGTAGCAATATATTACATCCCATTACCATAAAGAGAACTGTTTAAGCATTTTGAATATGCTGTATAATGCCAATAATATTCAAATCACGCAGATAGTTCTTTTTGCTGTGTTGCTATTGACCATATTTTTTTTAAGGCTTTGTGCATTCATTTTGACTTTCATGTTCATTGGATTGATGGCAAATGAATTTGCAATTTGAATACAAATTTTTATACCGTCGGTTCCGCAGAAAACAAAACAAAATTACAAATTCTGAAATCTCGTTAAGTCAATTTAATAGTCAACAACTGCACTTCAAAATTTTAATTTCAGTACTTTTTTTCTGTCCGTCGAGTGACTTTCAAAAAAAAAAGGCAATAATCTCTTGTAGAGAATGCAAAATAATTCAATTTAATTATGATGTTAGCAGTATGTTCATTCGAATAGTTCGCCTTGCTGAGCATATAAAAAGATATATATTTTTCACAATTGCTATTATATTTGCCCTCGAGAATAATAAATAAAAGTCTTTTTTTTTCGGCATGCCTGAACCTCCTCATATAAACTTTTCATGCTGTTTAAATGTGTGCAAAAAGCCATTCATAACTACAAACAATATACACCGACTATATTACAGCAGCAGCAACAATATTCAATGACCATTTAGTTCTCTTTTTCTTTCTTTCTCATTCCCTCTTTACTCGTTCTTTATTTAATTTAATTTAATTGCAATGAAAATTGTTGAAAATGAAAATGGAAATTGAAAACTATTTCTGTAATTTCAACATTTCTGGTGTGGAATGTAATGTTATTCTACCTTTATTACTC